TAATATATTTAAAATTATTCATTTAAAAAATTAATAATACTTATATATTATACAAAAAATTTATTGATATAAATATCTTTGTTATATTATCCGATAGCCTCATTAATGTCTTCCTGGTTTTAAAGCGAGAAAATTGAAACAAAAGAAAACTTTTTTAACGGTCAATTATTTTTAAATTGAAGGAACATGTCACATATTTTAAACAAAAAAAAAATCTGCTTCAATGAGTTTATTGCTAAATTAAAAGAGTTTATCAAACCTAAAACTAAAATAAGTTATAATTATTATACACATTAAATTAGTATTTTGGAGTATGAATGAGAATAGCTAAATTCAGAATAGAGTACTGTAATGTCTATGTTTTGTATCTGCAGTTTTAAAAAATAACCTATACTCTTTCTTTCTTTTTTTTTAACAGTTAGTAGGGCATAACTTAGATCCTCTTCTTGGTACTCATGGTGTATATAAAATCTACGTATTAATTTTCATTATTTGTAATATAGTTAATTAAAAATAATTTTTATTTTTTTTATGATCTGATATAAAGTATTGATTAGAAAAGTTTCAAATATACTATAAAATTATAATAAATATTAAAAAAATAAAGATCATATAAAGTTTTTCATTAAAATATTATAGTTAAGGATTATAAGTTTAAATATTTATCTAAAACTAAATGTAAAACATTAAAACAAACTTTTAACAAATTTATTTTATTGAATTTTTCACCCTAAATAAACTTTCAATTATTTTTTCAACTCGTACCAATATTACTTTTTATCAACGAGATATACTGCGTAACCTCTTCATTATCTGAAAACTAGTGATATAATAATTTTTCAAAACTCAATCATAACTAATTATAAGTAAAGGAGTACTCTCGTTTTAAATAAAAATAAAAGAAGTGACCAATATAAAAATGACAAATTTCAATTTAAAATTTAATAGTCTTGAAGTTTTTAAATTAAATAGTGTCCAAATTTTGTTGTTGTTCATTAATAAAAAATAATCTAAATCCCATCCAAATTTTATTAGATTATTATATAAAATTTGGAAAGTCTAACAATTTTTTATCTTAAAAAAATGAACGAACAAATTTTAATTTTTAATTTAAATTTTTGTTATACTAAAACGATATTAATAATAATAAAAACCATGACTTCCCTTTAATTTTTTGTTTCTTAAATTATTGCCATCAATTACTTATTAACATCTAAAAAATATAAACGTTTTATTATTAAATTTTAAAAGCCAAACATTAAAGATATTAATATTATGTTCAATTATATCGTGTTCAGATGTTTTAAAAAATTTTAATTTCATATATTAAATTAATTTGTTTGATAAAATATGTATTTCTTTGTAAAATTAATTTAAAAATTTCTTAAAATAAAAATGTCTATTAAGAATATTTTAAGTATTTATCATTTTAGGTTATATTTAGCATAATTAACTGAAAAACTAGGTAAAAGTTAAAGTAAATTTTAATTGTCCATGGTTGATATAAAAGTGTCACTATAAGTTTTACGTGGCCATAGGTTACTTTAGACGTCTCAAATTGGCACAACCACTATTAGAGCATTTTTCGTCTTTGTTTCAATTAACACTCATTAATGATCTCATCACTGGACACTAATAACCAATTCCATCAACACAAGTTCAAGCAATTTCGCCATCAACACTTCTTTGTCTCGTTGAATCAAATGTCTAAGAAGTGGCTAAATGTCTTGTGAGAATGATAATAGAAGACAATGAAGAAGAATGCAATCTCAAAATCTTAATTCCTCATAGTATTATAAGGATCTTCATGCAATCCCAAAAATGGGTTTAAAATTTTATTTTAAATATTTTTTAAATACTTTTTCAATTTTTATTTCTTATTCTTTTACTTGAATTTAAAGATAAAGGTGTAGAAAAATTACGGGAGTTGCTAACATTTAAGGTTAACTTTAAGTTGTTAAAGAAGAAATATTGTATGGAGAATTTTTTTTTAATAGCAATAATTCTTAAGATAGATTTCAAGCAACTCAAAATTAATATAAGTGTTTTATTTTTTATTACATAAAATTAATATACTTTTTCTCTGACCGAGCCAAATTAAAAACACTTCAGTAATATTAACTGAGTCAAAATTTAAATTTAATATATTTTTAATATAAAAATATATTATCAATAAATTTTAATTTAATAATGATATAAAAACTATGTCGTCAATAAATTTTAATTAAATCCTAAATATAATCCACCTGAACGTACTGACTTTATTATTATACAAATCACAATAATTTTAATATATAATTTATTAAAAAATATAAAAATATAAGAGAAAGATATTAAATAAAAATAAAAAATAAAAAAGTGATATTCACTTTTCTTTTACAATTTTTAATTAATAATTAAAACATATTAAAAATAATGTAACAGAATTTTCTTTTACAGTGAAAGATGTGACTTGAATTCAGCCCTGGACCTTCGAGGAAAAGATAAACTATCCTTATTAAAGTTAAATATTAATCATGGATACATATAACACTGTATTGTATATGTATTTATTCTCATGTCACATGTCCCACGATCACCCGTATATTTGTCGCAAGTTTTATTATTAAATACTTATTTACTATATTTGACTTGACTAAATAATTGAATACAAATAATTTAAAATTAGATCAATTAGAGTGATTTAATTTATAATTAAATAAATCTGATTGAAGCTTTAGATAAACTTATTTATAAAAAATAATAATTTTTCATAAATTAAAATTAATTTATACTTTTTAAGTTTTAAAAATATTAAATAACAAAATTTACATAATTAAAAAATATAATTTATTTTTAACCTATATAAAATTATTTATATTATTTAATTTTTGAATTTTTATAAATATTTAATGTGAAGTTTATCCACTAATAATCGTATGAAACAAATTTTTGGATAAACTTATATAAAGGTGTTTATAAAAAATAATTAATAAAAAACTAAAAAATCTTTTCATTTTCAATTTTTAGAAATATAAATATTTTTAAAAAAATTAACTTATAAAAATGTTTGATTAATTTTACTACTTAATTATTTTTGGTAATTACTACTTAATTTTTAAATTTTGTAAATATTTAATTGATAAAAAGGTATTCATAAAAATTATAATTGATAAAAAGCTAAAAAACTCTTTTCATTTTCAAGCTTTAGAAATATAAATAATTTTTTTAAAAAATATTTTTTAACTTGTAAAAAAGTTTGATTGATTTTAGTACTTAATTTTTAAATTTTGTAAATATTTAACATGAAATTTATCCAAACTGATATAAAAGGAAATGGTAAAATACAAAAGTGAACAATGTGATCTAATTATTTTAAAAAGGGTAAAATTGTGGGAGCCCCTGACAAAAATGTAGTAATTATTTTTGTAGGCATACTAATTGTGGGACTAAGAATTGTTTATATATGTTAAATTAGGTATAATCCATGGAAGAGGCTCTTCTGATGTTCTCACATAGTAGAAAAGAAGCATTGAAGAAATATTTATTGATATATTCCATTAGGGCATTATTGAGATGTGATTCCCTTACTTTGCAAAGGTCTTGAATGGAATGATATTTAGGAAAAGCAAAACCTAATGAAGGAGCCATGTTCGCATGTAACCTAAAGGTGGAAAAAGGCTTGACCAAGATGGGGCCAATGCTGGTAGTACCCAATACAAAATGACCTCAAAATGAATACGTGAAGTATATGCTCACTGTAACTTAATTCAAACTCACCCTTTATGTTGTCACTCTTTCATTGCCACAAACTACAAAGAGAAAAAAGGGAAGGGGCCCCAATGGTGGGGTGAGGGTAAATAGTTGCTTACTCATACACCAGGGAAAGGCGTTTAACTTTTCAATGTCCATTCATAGACATCATCATTTTGTGCAAGAAGTCACATACCTTAGATCCCTTTTGGGCACATAAAAAATGTAAAAACAACCTCTTTTTCTTATACCTTTATTAGCTTCTTTACCTTCATCTTATAATTACCTTTGACAGTTCCACATAACTGTTGAGTCAAACTTCTCTGTTTTCTATGTGCTACATATTTCACATTGAATGATCAACCATTTTCCTGGATAATCACATTTTCCCCTTGTTATTATTGCTGCAACTTGATCTGTCAAGTGGCAACCCAAACGGTTTCCAAGTAAGAATAATATTCACTTTGGTAACTTAAGCATGTTATGTTAAGATTAATAGTTGATCAATGTTTTCTATTTGCATACTATTTGCCCACTTCAAAACCTACAAACCTATACAGAGCAAATCCCATTTATACTAAACTCATTCAAATTGCATCTGGGCCCACTTAATTTAAACTATGCCCGCGGTTGCATCTACATTATAATTAATAAAATTATGATTCGGTTAATATCAACTTTTAGGATTAAGTTTAAATATTTAAAATTAATTTTTTTCTTAAAAACATTTATTACATTGAAAATATAAAAGTGAATAAATATTTTCTTTATAAAGTATTGTTACTTTAAAAATGATTGAAGTTAACAAAACTAGCAAAATTATAGAAAATTACAGATAAATGCAGTGGTGATATGGTTGAAAAATCTTAAAAATCAGGAGATGTGGATTAGAATTTAAGTCATGGAATGGGATATAATTTCTATAGTTGATATGTCACAATGTTTTTCTCTCTGTTTTTGTTCCCCAAACTTGCATATAACCACAATGCATACCCATACACTAAATGATATGCATCCATGTTTGAATATCCTGCATACGGTATATATACAGTGACAAATCATTGTCTATGCTTGTCATTTTAATATAGGTAGGGCTACCATGTGCTGAAGATTGATGGAAACAAAATGTTAGGCAGCCAGAATTGATATATGGTTAAAAACACAGCAATTCCAACCCTTATTTAATTTTATTTAATTTAATAAAAAAAACTATAATGCCGACATATTTGCTATCTATAAATTGAATTAAAGGAGAAACTAATAATTTCCCAACCTATTATTCTTCACTATTTGAGGTGGGTAGGTCACTGTCGCTGCCCCTTGAAAACATTGGGGGTGTAATATTCCTTATGGGCTCAGGTTGTATTCTATCCCAAATTGCTTGTCCTTGCCCTGTTATATGAAAGTAATGGCTAAAGCACCCTTCCAAATAAAGAGAGGAATAGGGAAACAGCATTTGAAGCATAAAAATTGCAGCCACCTCGCTTGGTTGGAAAGTTGTAACATTAGTTACATGCAAAAAATAATTGAACATTTTCAATTAAACTTAGGGTAAAAATAAAATCACAATACTAAATAGGAGAATGGTGATTATACAACATGATTTAAATTGGGCAAAAGGTGATTTTAATGCCTTTGAGTGCTATGCATTGGATGGCAGGTGGGGGAGAGATGGGGCTCTAGCAGCCTAGTACACATGTAGTGCCAAATTGAGCTTGCTCATGACATTTATCTTACTTGTCTTGTATAAAAGAAGAAAACAAATCAACAAGATAGGGAAAGATCAGGGAATTATCTCTCTCTCTTTCTCTCTCTACTTCATTCTGGGTTTTTGTTTGCTTCTTTGAGCATTTACTAATTCAATTTTCTTTTTGGGTGAAACTCTATGATTATGTTGAGCAAGGTAAAAAAAAAAAAACCATAAACAGCAATAAGCTTTATTGTTGTTTATTATATGGGGCTGAGCAGTGGATATTATTTTCAGCTTTTTGAAAAATAAAAAATAAAAATTGAAATGGGCACAAAGCTTTCTGAATTTCCAAGAGAGAGACAGAGATAACTCCAATAATACAGTGGATATTTGTACATTGGAGCAGTCACGAGGGAGACTTTAGCTTAGATCTAAAAGAATATGTATGCTGTTGCACACTTTCTCAGCCAAACAACATATAAAACAACGAAACAGATGCCTGCAACAGCATAAATATTCTGCACACAATGATACAAGCGAAATTGATTGCCTTAACAGAATACGATACAGATGGCTTTTGAATTCCTCTGAATACAAGCAACACTTATTTATTTATTATTAATATTAACTATGGCCACTCTTTACAACCTAACACCATCATACATACCTTAAGGACCACGACCAAACATGCTACAAAAACTACATTGATTTCTCACATAGAAATTAAAAAACAAATGAAATAAAATATACCCAATTGTACTTTTTAACTCATGGTCTCCAACGTTTCAAGAACCCCCCGTTCATTCATAGAGGTTCTTCTTCAAACTCGTTGATTCCTTTGAAGCTCATATACCATAACATCACCAATTGTTGCATGCTTGGGCAAAATTGAAGCAGCTCAGGAGGGATAGACAAGGAAAGAGAGGATGAGTTGGGCGGTAACGGGGAAAGAAAGAGATCAAACTCTATATCAGTGGATTCTGATATAGGGTCTTCCACAAAAGCAAAAACAAAGAAAACAGACATGGTGTGAGGTCTTACAAGGTCAAGAAAAGGTCTTACAAGGTCAAGAAGACTCTAAGGGAAAACAAGGAGAAAAGAAGACAAACAAGTGTGGTAGAAATTAGATGAAGAAGAGTGTAAAAAGCTCAGATAGGATAGCACCGTATTAGAATGAAGCTGCCACCACTCCAAGAGAAGTGTCAGCTCCAATTTCAGAGCCACTAGCTTGGTCACACCTCCCAATTCTCAAAGGGTTGACCTTGACCATGCTCATCTTGCTGCTACTCACATGCATGAGAATACCCTTATAGGGACCTGCATCATCTATCATACTCTTAATTAGTTCAGAGAATAATGAAGAAGAATGGCAGGAGCAGAAGCCAGCTTTAGATTAGATAAAAAGTAACCAACAAAGAAAACCATTAAACAATACAAGAGAATATCTTCTATTTACCATAAAGTAAATAGTTCAGTCACAGTATAATTATCTTATAGAAAAAAGCTAGCACGAATATATATATATATATATATATACACACACACACCTTTAACATGAATTACACACATTAAAAAGGTTCAAGATAACTGTATGATATGATACAAATTTTATATTGCAAGTTCAACACACTTGTAAGTACCTTTAACAAACCCGTCCTTTGGTTTCATCTTTGTGACCCCTTTTTATTCTCCCTACTACTCTATGTCAAGAGGGTGAAAGGAGAGAGAAAGAGAAGGGGGGAGAGAGAGAGAGAGAGAGAGAGAGAGAAAGAGAGAACTTTTTGTTATGGTAAGATAGGGGGGAATGGAGGAAATGCAGAGGTTTATATGGAGGAAAAAAGGAAAGATAAGAGTGCATGAGATGGCCAGTGGGCTTTCCCAATGGACCTGAACGCGACAAGTCCAAGGCCCAGAAAGATATCTAAACGGACCTGATGACGTCATCAGGGCCCAGGTGGGGGAAAAGTATGAAGAAAAATGTTAAATGTTGGAAATGTTGTTTTCTATGACAGACTTGAGAAAGGTAAAGGATGAAATAATTTTGTTGTGTTTTGTATTTTTTTTTTTTTTGTTTTTTCTTTAGTTTTGAACAATATTTGTTTCTCTCCTCAACGTTATTAAGCAATTATGATACTTTTGTAAAAAAATATTTTTATAACCAATAACATTGCTAAAGCAAAAAAGTGGAGAACATTGACCATATCAAAAGAAAAAAAGTGGAGAATATTGAGCTAGTGAACGATAAATTATTGTGGTAAATAATATAAATATAACCCATAAAGTTTTGCTCACAATAATCTTGAAATTATTTTACTCAGAGCGGTGCTACAGTGATGTCAGTACCAATGGAGGACAAAAGGGTCTTCAGCCTTTGTGTATGCCATGTGGCTGGCTGTTGTGTCCCAGTGTTGCTCGTGTGCTTTCCATAAACTTCCAATCTTCTGAGCGCAAGTTCAAACCCACCATAGCAGATTACTACTTCTAAAACATTTGAAAGATTTCTCAGTTGTGTTAATTACAATTCTTAATCAATCTTTACATGTTGAATTATGATTATTAATATTTTAAAACATAACACGTCATAATTATTGTTAATAAAATTAAAGTTTAAGTACTTTTTAATTATTATATTTATAATTTTCCCTTTTCTTGGATACTTTTTAAATTATACTTTTTTCATGGACAACTGTAAACATTTTTTTTCTCGATGTTTTAATTTATAAATATTTTTATCTAAATTTAAAGAAAGCCAGTCTAATCTAATTTAATAAAGATATGCATGCTAATATAATAATGAACACGCCCCCTTGAAGGTGAAGGTGGCCTATTCAATCCTGTAGTCACAGTAAGCGATTACACACCGTTGAGTTTAAAACAGGAAAACTTTTTGGATAGAACGATTAGAATTCAAAGAAATCCAGCATGCAAAAATGATATTATTATTATTATTAAACACTAATCATCCAACAAAGCACAAAGATCAAGTTTGTAATGATAATAATAATAACCAAAGAACAAAGTGGTTGGTTTTGAATACGACCCATGTGGATGGCATTGAACGCGGTGGACTAATAAGGTGGGTAAAATGTAATATTCCATGAGATAGGGACATGAGAATCCATTAACGATTTCTCACATTGGTTTTACGATCTTGTGTTTCCTTGTAGTATTTTCTTGGAATGGCACTGCTTGGTGGTATACATAAACATGGTTACATGGGAAATAGCTTATTAGAAACTGAAGCTAGCTAGAGATATATACATACACCACCAATGAGATACCCCGAAAGGAGGGAACAAAAAAACGTGTATTTTGCGCAAAATGATGAGTGAAGGGAACAAGGAATCTTAGGCAACCGAAAGAAAATATGCTAAACTATAGGTGAGACTTCTAAATACTCGAGGAAAGTAGGGTGTTAACGATGATGGCAGTTGGAAATCTTACTAGCATCACAGTCTCCAAAGAAACATGGTCAAACAAGTTACAAAGTCACACCCTCCCCAATTCCTTGGCTTGCTAACATGATAATTAAATAATATAATTTATAAGGCTACAGTACTTTTTGGAATGAGCTAGCTAAAGAAATTAATTAAATTTAATATAAGGTATAGGATTTTATGGATTGACCAAAAGTCTTTGTACCCCATGTTAGAGTCAAGGGACCCCACAGCTGTTACTTTTCCCTTTTGCACTCTGCTAAGGTCCACTATACCCTGCACTGGGCATCTGAGGCAGTGAATAACATGGCAGCAAGGGTCCAGTGACCCTTTTTCCTGTTCTACTCATGCACCATGTAATTAAGCACTAGTGAAATTCTGAAATGCTAGCCTTTTATTCCATTCCGTGACCATAACAATAGTTTGCTATCCCACTGTAGATTTCATTTGATTAATATATGTGTATATGCCTTAGTACCCAAACTTTCTTGTCAGTGAATGTATCCTGTAAGTTGGGATTAAAGGTCAAAGAGAGCATAATAATCCTGCAACTACAAGACAGCATCGGAAATGTCAGTCACGCACACACATGAATGTAGTAGATGTGTGACCAACAGGGTGATGAGTTAAAAAAAAAGCTATACCAAGCTTGAGAACAAAGTTTTGGTACTTTTAGCTGCGTGTGTTGTAAGATATATGGACCCTTTTTCTTTTTGGGTTTGAGGGAGAGGGGGCATTTATTTTGTTAGTCCTCAATATATAGAGAAAATCAATGCATATATGGCCCCCAAAATTAAATAATGAGTTTCTATGCTTTGGCCCCTCCCAAGTTGCAGTTAGGGACCCCTTCCAAATGCATCTAATTAACATGACCCGTTCAAAGTTCAAACTATCTGGTGGAATATAAGCCAACTAACTCAATCAATGACATGCACTGTGCATAGTGGCAACATGTTGCTAAGAAGGTTTGGCACTATTTTTGGTCTTAGGGCCACTACTTGTCCTTTTTATTCTCTTCTCACCTTGGATATCCCAGAAAATTTAACCAGCTAAAGATTGCAAAAGCCAAATTTGAGTAGTACCCTACACATGTTACAACTTTCGTTGATGATACAATCTTGATCTCGATCTTTCCTTTTCTCTCTTCCTAGTCCTTATATAAGTAGACACTTTCACTTGCAGTCAAATGCATCATGTCAAGAAGACTTCCTCCATAGGCCCATTTTGAATGCACTTTCTTGATGAAATAGATAAGTATGGTGCATTTGGGTAGCTTACATACTTTATCATGCACAAACATAAAAAAATTTAAATTCATAGCGTGTAGACCCTAATTATAGTTAGTATACCATTCACTTTGACGTTCAAAATCAATGCGTGGAGCCCTTGAACTTTCTATAAAGACTTTGAATATGTGCCACTTGCAGTAGCAAAATTGCTGTGGCTTAGAGTTGGGTGGATGTTAGGTGATGTGACCCATGAGTAACATGCAAAATGATGAAGCTCATATTTGGACAAGGAATCGCTTGAAAACTATGAGACACGCAATGGTAGGGATATGAAATAGAAGGTGGGCAAATATAACACATAAACATGTTACATAGCTGAGTGAAAAGAAAGGGTTAAGGGTCAGGGTACCCTTTCGAATTATTCCAAGAAGTGACTCTGGATGATAAACTGTGCACAACCAAATCAGGAAACCAATAATGCACAACATTAGGATAAAGGGTAGCTTGAAAGGTGTATACCGACCCGTACATGTTCCTCAGCAATTAGCATGTGGCCAAAGTGGAGCTGTTCCGGCATTAATTCTGTACCCCCAGAGACCCATTTGGGAGGAGAAAGGAACAAAAAACCCTGCAAAGATTCTCTCACTCAAAGGCTAAAAAAGTGAGTTATTTTTTTTGAATTTTTGGCTTCCATTGTGGTCCACCTGGTCACCATCAATTTCCGGGTAAAAGAGTGACACCCACTTACACAACAATTTCATGCAATCAAATTCTCAACTATATTCTTTGCAGCCTTCACAAAACAGCAATTCGATTCCTCGATGCCATCCATGTGCCATTGTTCACTCAGTAGTTTCATGTGTTTTGACATGTGTATAATATATGCTTTGCACACTCCTAGCTCTTCATGGCCCTTTGAATCAATAACCAGTTCTTTTTCGAAACATATGAAGCCCATAACTTTTTTCCATGAAGGGACCAATCAGTGAAGCAAATAAACCCAAAGCAGTCACAAAATAACAAGTTGTATATGTAGATGCAAAAGAAAGGACCATTTAGGCATTTAATATATTCGTTGTCCAGATCCATAATAAAACTTAGATATGTTCAAGGCCCAAAGAAAGGTTTGCATGCTGTCATGGGCTCGTAGAATATCAGCCCTACCATATGTGACAAAAATTTTAACACAAACAACTCAGTACTTCTTGACCAAAAGAGCAAGGCAACTTAGTACTTTCACTAAAATAAAGACTACTAGCACATCTCTAATGGAAAATTTTTGAAAGAATTTTCCTATATTAAAATATATATTTTGTGGCCCTATTATGTTAAGCAACTCAATCTTAAATTTACTCTGTTGATAAGAAACTCTAAAAGTTGAGTGAAATAAATGGAGGTGTTATCATAAAGATGAGACTATACAAGAAAATAAACCGTATTTTTTATTGAAAAATCGTAAATGTTACGTCAAATTACTCCATAGTGAAGAAATGCAATGTTCCACATTCTATTTTAAAAAAATGTGGATGAAACGACTGCTAGAGATGGCCTTAGCATGTATTGATTTTTTTTACTAAATCTTATCTGTAATTTATCTGCTCTTGATTTTATTACGATTTTTAAACTTTTTAGAATGTTTTAAAAAATGCTTTATTTTTTTTTTTAAATATATGTTTGCCTATTTCTCTCTGCCTAAGTGGCTACAAATTTTAGGTAATTTCTTCTTTGTTAGTTTTGCATTTTAATTACCTATCCTTAGATGAGTTAGTTAATTCCTATGGAGCAATCGCATCCTGCAAATCAATTGAAATACACTAATTTTTTTCCAAACTATTTTTATTGTTACAGGTTTTTATTTCCCAACACTATTGTCTTCCCAAACCAAGGTGTCAAAGAAATGATAAAGAAAATTGTTTATTTTAAGTTACCTTGTTTTCCATTTCTTGTAAATTATCTATAAAAAAGAGAGATGAGACAAAGTAAGAGACTTTTCGAAATGAATATAAAGTTAAGGGTGAAAAAATAAAAGTAAAATAACTAGTGTTCTTCACTTTAATAAAAACTCACATTATTTTGATTTTGTATGCTTATTTAAATTTAATAATAAAAATTAAGC